AGGAGGAGTTGAAACTATCGTTAGTGGCCAAGATACAGACACATGATCGTATTTTGAAGCATTGAGCTTAGTACAGGAGTGTGGTTTTAATGGTAGTGGTGTCCAAATTTGGAGAAAGATTGAAGGGATTGATGACAGTTTTTCCACCTGACTGATGATGCACACATTATAGAAATTGCCAAGCATTCTATTTCTCATAATATTGATGGACATATTTAGGTGGAGCATAATGTTGCAGACAACTCAAAGAGGGTGGTCACTCCAAATTATGTAGATGTTGGTGAAGATAGTGAGCATAGCAGTGATGATTATTATTTAGGTATCAGATTTGAAGATAGTAAGGAAGAAAGAGTTAATGAGGAGAATGAAGGCTTTGCGTGTGTGGAGTTTGATAAACCTGAAGAAGGCAATATGGTTGAAATCAGTGTCAGAAAATATATATACAATTTAAAAGCTAACAAGGATTCATCAATTGTAGTGTCCCCAAAAAAAATAAGGTTGGTAGTTCCTTCAATGGTCATGCGTGGGAATCCAAGTTCTTCAAAGTTTGTAGAACAAGATGGTGATTATGAAAGTGAAGAGTTAGGTAGCTCAGACCCAGGTGATAGTGATATTGAAAGGATACCTAAATATGAGAAGTTTATAAGGGATTTGCTCAACAAAGACTATGAGTTCAAACTAGGTATGAAGTTTAACTCTCTTGTTGAATTTAAGGATGCCATAAGAGAATGGTATGTTTTTAATGATAGAGAGATTAAGTTTGTAAAAAATGAAAGTTCTAGGGTTAGGGTGGAGTGCAAGAGTAAATGTGGTTTTTTAGCACTTTGTAGTAAAGTGGGTGACAAACACACTTTTCAAATAAATACTTGGGTGGGGTCATATATATGTGTCAGGGTTTTGGATAACAAGTCAGACAACTCAAAGTGGGTGTCCAAGATTGCAGTTGAAAAGAGGCAATCAAGTGACAAGGTTAAAGTCTCAAATCTAATGGCTGAACTTAGGACTAAATATTCAGTTGAGATTACCAAAGGAAGAGCATGAACGATCAAGCACATAGTTGAGGAAATTATTGAAGGTAACTCAACTAAGAAATATCATTTATTGTGGAGTTATGCTATAGAACTTAGGAAGCAAAATATTGGGAATATAGATTAATGTTAAGAGACCAATTTCAACAATACCACCAAGGTTTGGTAGTTTCTACTTTTGTTTTAATGGGTGAAAGAAATGGTTTCTTAATGCTTGCAGACCATTTACTAGTGTGGATGAGTGTCACTTGAAGACAAAGCGTGGTGGCCAATTACTTATTGATGTGGCTAGGGATCCTAGTGACCAGTACTTTCCTTTAGCCTTTGGTGTTGTGGAAACAGAGACAAAGGAAAGTTGGAGGTGGTTCTTACAACTGCATATGGAAGATATTGGGCAACACAAAAGATATGTATTCATATCATACCAACAAAAGATATGAATAAAGTTTAGTATTTCCATATTTAGATTGTTTGAATTAATTGTCTGCTCACAATTTGTATTTCATACTTACATGGTTTTGTGGCTGTGTTTGAAGATATGTTTGAGTTCATTGAGCATAGAATATGTTTAAGACACTTGTATGCCAATTTAAAAAAATAAATTAGTGGATGCAATGAAATTAGGGATCTCATGATGGGAGCTGCAAATGCAGCCTACTATCAAGCTTGGGAGAAGAAGATGTCTGAGTTAAGATAGTTGAATAAGAAGGCTTGGGAATGGCTAATGGGTGTTCCAACAAAATTGTGGTATAAGCATGCTTTTAGTTTCTATCCAAAGTGTGATGTTCTGATGAATAACATTAGTGAGTGTTTCAACTGTAATATATTACAGGCTAGAGATAAACCAATTATCATTATGTGCGAATGGATTAGAAATTATTATGAATAGGGTAGTTGTAAACTTAACCAAATTAGACAAGTGAAAACATAAGATAATGCATATGCCTAGGAAAAGGTTAGACAAGGAGGTGCTGATGAGTGGTTAGTGGGTTCCTACATGGAACATTGGCATGATATGGCAGGTAAACCATACATTTGATGGTCATTAATTCATTGTTGATCTTAGTAAAAAGAAACAAGTACATGTTGTTTTGGGGAACTTGTGGGCAGTCCATGTAGACATGCCATAACTTCTATGAGTTATCAAAATTTATATCCTAAACATTTCGTAAATGACTGCTATAGTAGGGAAACATATAGTAAGTGTTACTCATACAATGTGAGTCCTACTAATTGGATGGATATGTGCCCCAAGGTTGATGTTGAGGATATGCTTCCACTATCATTTAAGAAAGGTCCAAGTAGACCTAGGAAACTTAGGTTTAAGGAACTTGATGAGTATGGTTCTAGAATGCGAAGGCCTGGTGTTAGTTACATGTGCACTAAGTGTGACAAGATTGTTCATAACTCAAGAAAATGTTAGAGTAAAGAACAAAACCTTGTTGCATTAAAGAGAAAGGTTTGTCTATTTTTTGTTTCTGTCTTTTGCTACATGTTCGTTAAGTACTCCATCATGTACTATGGAGCATAACTTATGATGTTTTTATTTTGGTTTCTTTTAGAAAAACACTTAGGTCTAAACCTACTAATACAAATGGAAAAGTGGATGAGCCTACAAATGAGCAAATGGGTGAGTCTGTAGTGGATGAACCTACAGTTGAACAGATGACTGAGCATGCAGTAGAATATTTTCATGATGAAATTGATGCATCAATTGAAGCAATGGTGGCCTCAGTTGAAGTTGAATACCAAGAAACTTAATCCTCTCAAATTGTGAATCCAACCTCTAACACTGCTGGAGTTCTTGTTGATAACAAGTCTTCAAAAAAGAAACAAAGGGTGGCCTCGAAGAAGAAATCTGTGTCTACCAAAAAGAAGAAATTTGTTGCATAATGTGCTTAGGTTGAAGCTTAGTATGATGTTTGTAATGCACATAATGTGCTTAGTTTGAATCTTATTATTCTATTTGTAATACACATAATGTGCTTAGGTTGAACCTTAATTTGATGTTTGTAATGCACATAATGTGCTTAGTTTGTACATTAGTATGATGTTGAAGCATTAATTCAAACTGGTATTTTAGAATCTTTTATACCTTAGTATGATGTTAATGCAGACTGGTATTAGCAACATTTATTTGTTTTTGTCTGATATTATAAGTCCATTTTGAAGCATTTATTTGTTTCTATCTGATATTTGTTTCTATCTTATAAGTCCATTTTGACATTTACCAAACCAAACATGTAGATTGGTATTGAACCAAACAGATACTGCATACATCTATATTGCAAACTGGTATTGAACCAAACAGATATTTTTCATTTCATTCAAGATTCATAAATTACGAGGGATTTCATTACAAGGGATTGCATACATCTATATTGCAAACTGGCTACACTTACATTCTACCTATTACAAAACACTATAGCAAAAAATATCCAATATGCAACAAGAATGTAAGTGAGTGCATTATTTGTCTTATGATCTTTTGCAACCTTTGACTTTAGTTTCTCGATCTTCTTGTTCTTAAATGTCTTTCCAAACTCATGACCAAACTCTTTCCCAAACTCAACTCCATATTTTTTGATATCCACTTTCATGTTTTCACATTCAGAGTAACCTCCACCGTATCTTGATTCAACTTGTTTTCCTTGATACAGTTCATCATTCCAATGAAATAGATGACAATCATCATCGTTCTAGAATAACAAGAAAAGAGATGGAACTCAACAAACAAATAAAAAAGCAAATACATATGAACGAAGGATATGAAAAAATTTGAACAAACCTCCAAAAATTTGCACTTCCAATATCTTCTTCCTCGGTTTGAGCTTGATTTCGGAACGTGGATTCTCATTGAAAGCTCATGCTCACAAACCAGAAGTTTTCTCCCACTAGACATGTAACTTGAACTCGCACTTCCAATCATTGTATATTCAATAGAGGTACGAACTGAAGTTCACGGAAGTGGAAATGAAGAATTTGAACCCTAATTGCAAACACGAAAGAAAAAATAAAGAAGATGATTATCCCATTTCATTTTAAATTGTTTGTTTTATTAATTAGTAAAATGAAATTAATCAATGTCACGCTATTTACTATCTATTATAAATATTACTATTGACCTATTAAATTACAAGTAAGCTTTGTTACTTAAGTGGATAGTGTAAAAAATGTCAAATCAACATCTTAGATGACTTACTATTAACCTATTAAATTACAAGTAAGTTTTGTTACTTAAGTGGATAGTGTAAAAAATGTCAAATCAACATCTTAGATGACCAGATCCACTTAAGGTCTAAAAGTGGAGAATCAAAAATAACGTAATCTGTGTTTTTTTACGTGATCTCTTTTCAAATTCGCCCCGACTAACATGGAGCAAAAGATGTATTAACCCTTTTAATTTTAATCAACAATTTCTACACTTCTGCAATTTTCAAAATATAAAATCACCTGGAACAGGGCCCTATATTTCTAGTAAGTTCTTCATTTTTGTAAAATTCTGACTTTTTTCTTTGTATTTTGCTAGGATTAGTTAATTCAAAATCGAAGCACAATATTTCGTGAATTCCTAAAACGTGTTTTTTCAGTTACACTATCAACAGCCCTCATAACTAATCTGGCAAAGAGATTCATTTTTTCTCTATAAAACCTCAAACAGTCTTCTGCAGAAAGCCTCTAATAGGCTGCCTTGCCCATTTAAATACTGTTCAGTATTTGTATTTAGTTACGTCACTTTTAATTGAACACCTCCATCCATGTCTTTTATATTTCGTTACTTGCTCTACGAAGATTAGAGAAATATGCACAAAGACACTCACTGTAAGGTAGCATTTGGACAGTAGTTATAAAGGCATCGAGTCTAGATGCATTTCAAACTCTACATAGTAATCACCAATTAAGAATATAATCCAAACTTAAGTTTCTACCCAGCTTAAAGCTGACTACACTAATTTCCTACATTGCGTGTTTCTATAGCCCGTGCGAGGCTGCAGTATTAACCTGTTTGCCAAGATATGCTTCGTATATTTCCACGACAAGACGAGGATTACTGTCCACTAACTCTATATAATCTTCATTTTTAGTGAGGTTGTCCATGTTCTCCATGATCACTGCCAAGGCTGCATCTTGCAATTGGTTGGCATTGTGTTGATGTGCAAATGCAAAGTTCACAACAGCTTTCTCCCAATTCAGTTTGGAGATCAAATACTTCTCGCAATATGCCTTAAGATGCTTCACCTGATACTTTTCTGCTAAAACTAAAAGGTTACAGGCCATTTGGTTGTCAAGGAATGCTTCGGCAGTGTATAAGTAGTTAACAAAAGCACGAAGGGCGTCGTATGATACGTCAGCAATCTTGATGGTGCCACTCCGGCTTTCATCCATATCGTGCTCAAGCATGGCTCTGAAGACTGGAGAGCGACTAACCTATTCAATCATCATAATGCATCATTAGATTCATAATGAACAGCCTAACAGCTTAAAAAATGAATATATCAAGATAATGCATGACAATACTTAAATAATAAATCACATAAATCAAATCAGCAACGCGTTCACTTCATTCTGCATCATAACAACATCAGATAGCAAAACACAAAGTGTAGTGCAATAAATGCTTCAAATAACTAATAATAGAATCTGGGAATAAAAAAATTATCAAAGTAAACATTTAAGATTTTATATCAGGATTGGGTCCAAAAAAGAAACTCATGTATTATGTGTATATCAAGATACAAATTCATGATTTTATATCAAGATAACAGTTGACTACAAGAGTATTGGTCCTATCATCTGTATACAATGAAAGAGTCAAACCATATGCCATTGGCAAGGATTCCATAAAGAAGATCAGGAAAACAAAATTAAGATAAAACCAGATTTTGGATTATGAAACCTTTTCTTAAAATCAATTACTTGGTGGTTATGTTAAGTTTGGCATACTTTATCCTGTCCAGTTTCCTGGATTAAGAAACTTAAAGTCCAAAATTAAGATAAAACCAGATTTTGGATTATGAAACCTTTTCTTAAAATCAATTACTTGGTGGTTATGTTAAGTTTGGCATACTTTATCCTGTCCAGTTTCCTGGATTAAGAAACTTAAAGTCCAAAATTAAGATAAAACCAGATTTTGGATTATGAAACCTTTTCTTAAAATCAATTACTTGGTGGTTATGTTAAGTTTGGCATACTTTATCCTGTCCAGTTTCCTGGATTAAGAAACTTAAAGTCCAAATTAGGTATTGCATTAATTTATTTTAATGTTAAGCCTTTAATGAAATGTTCTCTTAGGTGGTCAAGTTAAAATGATTTATCAACTCATCAAGTTATAATGAAGGACATGACATGCCCTTGTCATCAATACATTTTTCAGTTTTTATATAGAGCAGTGCTATTTATACATAAAAAATTGACACCATATAGGCGACGGTACAAAATACATTGCAAAATCCTGTTTTCTCTAGATTAAGTAGAGAGTATTTAGTCTTTTAATGGTCTCGTGGCTGAAATTTCATCTTTTAAAGATGAATAAGTGGGATGTCATAGGTTCGAATCCGCATCTCTGCAGTCTAATGTCCCTACACAACTACCAACTGAACTTCCTTAACGAGCTTTCCTCAAGCCGTCTAAATAGCCTTAAAATAGAGAAAGTTCAATGTCATTGTTTCTTATTGTCTAAATAGCCTTTCTCTATTTTATATTTATAATGATGTAGCAAATTGAAGAGTATTGGTGAGTTATTGTCAGGATAAAAGAATTTGATTTTTTTAGTTACACCTCCTAAAGCATTCAGCTACATCCAAAATAGCCCAAATTTCATCTGTATACACCCAATATTTCATTAACTTTTTGAACAGTGTATAATCTTTAATCTCTTATAACTATACTCTTAAAAGCTCTCTAAAGTGGTCACTAAAAAGAACACGTAAGGGTGCATTTACTATCAGATTCTCATATGGTAAAGTTACTACTACAATACACACTTAAAATCAATTTAACATGAATTAGGGCTTAGATTCATGTGCATTACTCTCATTCTTGTAATGAAATATTCAAATTCCTAACATCGGATACTAAAAAGGAAAAAAAATTAAAAAAAAAAAGGTTATAAAATCTTAAAACCCTAAGTCCATAATCAATAAGAAAAAAAAGAGCAATTAAAAATTGATTGTAATTACTAATGAAAACAGAGTGTGTTAAAAAGGTGGAAGAAGAGAGTACTAACGAGAACGGCCTTGTGAGCAGGAATGGAAGGAGAGAAAGCATCGGCGGACGGAAGGAGAACGAGATCGGTAGTAGAAGGAGAATCGAGTGGAGAAGAGAGAGTGAGGAAGGAGACTTTGGATTTGAGGTCTTGGATCTGACGTTTGAGTTCTTCCTCGGTTTCGTTGGCTTCTTCGTAGCATTCTTTGCAGGTGCCGGCTTCGTCGGGGTCGTAATTCTCGTCGCAAGAGAGACACCTCGTGATCGTCGCGGTGAGGTTATCGTCGTCATCGTCGTCGTAATCGCTATCGGCGTAAACTGTGCAGCGACGCGGTGGCATTTTATCTGAGCTTTTTTATTGATCGATGTGATTCGAACGATGTGCTCTTTGTTGATGGATGTGTTTTTGTATCTTTCGGCGTCACACGTTCTATAGAATAATGCGCAACATCTTCGACACATTATTGTTAAATAAGTGGAAAATATATATATAATTCACGTTATAGTGAAAATTTTAAATTAATGGTATGATATGATAAATTAATGAATTTTTATTGAATAATAGTATTTAGTCTTCAAGTCTGTTAAATTAATTATGAGTTGCGATTCACTCTCTCAATAAAAAATTGTTTCGATTTGATCCAGTAATATTACTTCTGTTAATATATTTGATCTCTCCTGTTACTTCAGGTGTTAAACCGTTAGTAAATGTCAGGGTGGCGTGCTAAATGTGTGTCTAGTCATCAAATGAATAAATAAATCATTTTTTAAAGGGTTAAATGTTGTCAAAAACCTTCATAATTTTCAGAAAAAAGCTTGTGTGTATAAGAAAGAAACAGCTGGGTAAAAGACTTTCATAATCTCTTCGTTCTTGTTGTTTGGCACTGCTGAAAGGAATAACTGGGTTTAAAACTCGTTTTTGTGTTTGGTTCCTTCATCTTGTTCTTTTTCATCTTGTCTCCATTCTTAGGGTTTTTTATTATTCTTCTCCAATGTCTAAGTTGTCAAGCAGTGCTTCCATTGAAACATTATGGTCGATTATTCGCAGAAACAAATTGAGAGAGTGTTTTTGCCAAGACGAATGTGTGTTTCATACCGTGGGTGACATGAATAGTCTCAATTTTGGGAAAAAGTTTTGGGGTTGCAGAAATTTCAAAAATCATGTGAATAAGGGATGTAATTTCTTCAAATGGTTCGACGACGACATTATTGATGAAAGAGATTTGAAGATCTAGAGGCAAAAGAAGAAAATTTACAAATTGAAGAATGAGATCATCAACAATAGGGGATGGTTGAAAGTGTCTGTAATCATTGAAATACTGAGCTTAGTGTGTAATGTTGTATTTGTAACAATTTTTTTATGTTGGTTATTTGTCTGCTTAATGAGATGTATTTGTGAACAAGGAGGTTGAAATTTATCTGTCATGTAATGTGTCTGTCAACATTGTTATGTATGTGTCAAAATTTATCAATGAAAAGTATTTGCTGAAATGTTACTTTTTTTTGTTTCCCACAATATACAAGAACAAATGCACACCATAAATTGGTCATAACAATAGTCACAAAACCATAACAGATTTACATTAGTAACATTAGTTGCAATAGTAACATTACAAGTCATAACAAAATTGGCATTGCAAGTCGTTAGACATAACTAGAGAATAGGCATTTTATGCCATATGTTACAGTAGTAGAAATCCAACAAAAGTGGCATTATAAGCGTTAGTCATAAACTACAAAATAGGCCAAAAGTGGCATACCTAGTACACATCAAAGATAAACATAATCTTAGGATTGGCTCAGAACTGGTTTTAGACCCTTTTGAAGTCTCTTTCTCTTTTTGGATGGTTGCTGAGTTGAACCTCCATCTAGTGTTGGTTGGCTTGATGTAGTAGCAACTGGTGTTGGTTGGCTTGATGTAGCAGCAACTGGTTGTTAGCTCACAAATTTGACGCCCACATTAAAATAGAGTGTTTGGTTGAAAGTTGACTTCTTGAGGTAATGAGGAAAAGCCTCTGAGTGGGTCTTTACCATAAATGAAATCGAAGGCATTCACACAAGAAAGGAAGACTTTTGGGACTTAGAAAATATTTCTAAAATTTAGAGAAGTCACCTTCGACCGAGACGCTGGCCAAATACTAGTAGAATTTGAAATTCAAATAAAGGAGGGAGTAGTTATGCTTTCTCATTTCTGAATGAGACAAATGACGCACATCTAAGAGGCAACTGCATGTAGCACGACACTTGTCATGAGCTGATTGTTTTGAGCAGTTAACAACAGTTAATTTTACGATTATAAATAGGGGATCTAGTAATAGGATTCGGAGTGTTGTGTTTACTATTGTACAAGTCACTCCAAATTTACTCAAAGTATCTGTGTGTAGAGAAAAGAGTTTTGGGAGAATGTACGTAATATAAAAACACCATTTTATGCTTTAATGAAATTTACTTTCACTTTGTATTAAAAGAGCTCATCCTTTATTTTCCAGCAATTTGCGTCTTTAGCGTTACGCTTTGTATCTTTTAAGCCTTTTTTTCAGAAAAGTTGTTTACCTTTTCTTTCACTTTAACGTTCTTACATTCTCGTCGAACCACACATTTAAACTGACTTTTCTTCATAAATATTGTCGAAGTGTTTAGCCTTTAGTATTTTTTGTAGTTTAAAATTTAGCAGATGTCCTAGGATCAATCTGATCAATCCTGTGAGTCACCAAAGTTAGATTTGGAAGATCAGCGATTGTTTTCCAATTTTCACGGGAAACAAATTGGCATGCCCAGTGGGACAGTGCTAAAAGTTTATAAAGCATTTTTGTAAAAGTTTTGCAAAATTGTAGTTGTTAGTGTGGTCGTTGAGAAAACTTCGTTGTATGTTATTAAGAAGTGGTAAAATAGCCGCTACAAACAGAGAAAGACCAAGAAGAAACTACACTAGGAAAATGGTAACAAATGTTAATCAGCCAAATAACTTAAACCTTTGAGGGAATGGTTATAATCCCCAACCTAGTAACATTAATCCTCGAGACGTGTCTAGGAATGATGTAGTTCCATCCTCAGTCCCTTCAACAGGAGAGCAGATATCGCCTCCTATTTTTCCTGAACCAGTGCCATCAGTGGTAGGTTCAGGGTCGACAGATATAAGGGCCTACACTCATCCCGTTTTAGAGTATGTCGGGCCACAGGCATCCAATCCCCAAACTCCGCTAGGGGGGAACTTCGACGTTTAGACATTTTATCCCTCCAGGGTTTTTACAACCATTACCAAGAAACCCACCATATGGAATGCCAAAGTCAGTAATGCAAGGCCTCCAAAATGCTCCCCCAATATTCTCAGAGAATGTGATGGCTTCACTGTTACAAAGATCAGGATCTGGGATAAGTTTTGGTCGAAACAGTCAAATTGTAGGTGTGGGGTACTCCACTCAAGGCCCTAATCTGACAAATACTTCGATAGCTTGTTTGAGACAACAAATGGATGAAAGAAACCTGAAAATGGTAAAACCTTATCCCAAACCATGGGGGAAATCTTCCAGCCCTTGATCCAGAATACTACCCAGACTAACCAACAATTAACAGTGCAATTGGCACGCCTGGCAGAATTTATGGGTGTACCAGCCGTTGTCAGAGCCACAGCTGTTGTGGAAGACATTCCACGTCGGGACTTAGGGAACGTACTTGAGGCTAATCTAGGAAATCAAGGTAGGGTCGAACCCCTTAGACTCAAACCTCTTAGGGTTGAACCACCTAGGAGCCAAGCACCAATTCCGGTAGAGAGAGAGCCATAGGTGATTATGGTGAATCAAAACCAAGATGTTGACCATGTCATACAACAGGTTCGACGTAACAACATAGTCGTCGATAACAACTTAGCAGCCGTGGTCTAAAGAATAATGGCTCAAAATGGGTTAAAATTCGGTTTAACTAGGCCAAATTATACGCCACCAATAGTAGATTATATACTCTAGTGAGAATTACCTCCTAGGACGAAGGTGCCAAAATTTACCAAGTTTTCAGGAGATACGATAGAATCTACTGTCGAACACGTTGCCCGGTATATGATCGAGGCTGGAGAGATTGCAAATGATGAAAGCCTTAGGATGAAATACCTTTCAAGCTCTCTCACTAAAAATGTCTTCACCTGGTTTACAAACCTACCCCCTAACTCAGTTTGTAATTGGACCCAGTTGGAACGTTTATTCCATGAACAATTCTACATGGGACAAACTAAAATTAGTTTGAAGGAATTGGCTAGCGTAAAACAAAAGTTTTATGAGCCAATAGAAGATTACCTAAATAGGTTCCGACTACTCAAGGCTAAGTGTTTTACTCAAGTACCTGAACATGAGTTAGTCCAAATGGCCGCTGGTGGCCTTGATTACTCTATTAGGAAGAAATTAGATACCCAGTATCTGAGAGATATGGCCCAACTAGCTGATAGGGTTCGACAGCTAGAGTGTCTTAAAGACGAAAAGGATAAATTTAATAAGATCAAGAAGGTAGCTTATGTCGAATATAATGAGAATATCAAAGGTTTACATAATGAACCATTGTAATTCAACGAGAATGAAATAGATGTTGCTGAATTAAAGCAGGGTCCTCCATATGCTTGTAAAATGTTAGCTCCCCCAAATGGAAAAAGTTCTGTCGAATCTGAAAAGAATGACAAGTTTTCAAAGAAAACATATACTTCCGATATCACTAAATGTGACGAAATTTTTGATTTGTTAGTTAAAGATGGGCAAATGATAGTACCTGCTGGCGCTAAAATGCCACCTTTAGAACAAAGAAAAAAGAGAGGATTTTGTAAGTACCATAATTTTTTGCGTCATAAAACTTCTCAATGTTTTCTTTTCATGGATTTGGTTTAGAATGCTATCCAAGAAGGAAGACTGAAGTTTGGAGAGAAAAGCAATAGTCAGATGAAAATTGACTCTGATCCATTGCAAGTGGTGGATGCCTAATATACTGATCCCACATAAGTGCATATGGTCGAAGTTGCTGATGGCTTCGACTATTCGATTAATATGGTGGAAATTACTGAAGATTTCGCCAACGATACTATTCTAGCCTAGGTCACTATAGGCCTTGGGAGTAATACCACAGAGAAACTTATGAATGAGGCTGTTGAAGGCCTCAACAAAGTTGCTAATGACTCGAGTGATAGGGACACTAAAGATTCCAACCTGATGCTGGTAACTAAAGAAGCTGCAGATGGTTTTACTAGGATGGAGAGGGCTGCTGAAAGCCTTGAGTTGGACTTCTATGTTAGGACACAGATTGATGTTCAATATATCTTTATGTTTTGATGATAACACTAATGAAATTTTGTATTAAGAAAATATA